GTGTGTGTGTGAGAGAGAGAGAGAGAGAGGGGGGGGGGGGAGGGGATAGAGAATAATTAGTAGAAAGTTGAGAATTCCTTTATATGTGAAATACATTTTAACTTTTGGACAGGCATGTACCTCACTAGTGGCACCATCACCAAAGTAGGTGACTGTGCAAGCTTGTTTATTATCCATCTTTAGAGAATATGCTGCACCGACGGCATTAGGAATTTGAGTCCTAATACAAACAATCCATGAGAAACTATCCCAATTTTCATCTGGATCTGTAGAACTCAAGGGAATGATGGTTATGTTCTGAGAGTAAAGTGTTTTAGCAGCTTACGCAATTGTTGATGAAACGGTGAAGTAATTAAGGCTTCTAGACCCATAGTGTATGGGCATCTGACGCCCTTTCCCATAATCATCCTTGTTCCCAAAGCACTGGTTTGCAAACTCTTGCAGAGTGAAGCCGCGCCACAGAAGAATGCCTGGTTCTCTGTACTGCATAGTGGTAACAAAGTAGTTTTCAGCAATTACTTGGGAGCTTAGAAAGTCAAAAAAATTTGTATTTCAGAAAAAACTTGACAGATATTGCTAGAAACATGATATGAGACTTGTAATGACTAGGAAAGAGTACCCCAAAAAATCTATTCAAGTTCAGGAAAAATTAGAAACAATTTTGCATTTCACATAAGGGACTTTTAACCAAGATTTCATTATGAAATCATTAAAATTTGTAATGTTTATCTTTTTGCTTTTATATTTTGAGTTCTATGAATCTGGAAGTATCGGAAAACTCTTAAAAATACTAACCTGTTCTGGTTACCAATCCTCACACAACTCAAATAAGGTGAACTACATGCATAAGGGAATGGTTTTGTTGAACTAAAAGTTGATAGCATAGAGGATATAGATCAGTACAGCCGAAACTAGTAAATGTTGTTTTGCCTATTTCAGGTATACCTGAGGAAATATGACATCATGGATTGTTAATGCTGCTGCTGACGCAATGTTGATAGCTTCCTCTCCAATACTAGTAAGATAGAATGATATCCGGCCTTGCCTTTGTGCTTCGTAAAATATGGTATCCATGATTTGTAATGTAACCATATTACTGTACATGTTCAAAGCAAGTTCCTTTCCAACCTAAGGGAACCAAAGCTAAAGAGAATTAAATTACACAATCCTGAACTGAAAACTGAAACAATTTACAAGTTTCTATGATTGAAGTTCATGCTTCAGTGGGATAAGTTTAAATCGGAAAACACATTAACCAAATCCTTCTCAAAGAAAACAGGTATCCATGTGTCATCTTGATTTCATATAAATCAGTTTATAATCAATAATGGGGGTACCTCTTGGAAACTTTTATCAGTTACTGGCAGGCCATCATCATCCAGAACCCTATAACAACTAGTTCGTTGTCTTGCGGATTCCGATATGAAGCTCATTTCAGATGTGAGAAGAACTGGTCCTCCTGGAAAATCCAAGACCTGCCATAAGCAATCAGTTATGCTAGCAAAGAATGGACAAACTATCAAAAGTTCCAAAATCTGAAATCCAATCCACATCACACACACACACATGCATGCAAGTGCTCGCGCGCACACCCCCCCCGCTCCCACACACACACGCGTGCACATGCCTATGCAAAACCTATTTCAGAAGAATGAAGTATTAAATGAACCATAAGCACTCAATGCGACATTCAAAGGAGACGTTTAATAAAAGCGTTGATGCCCAATAAAATTAATCCCACCAGGATAGATGATAAATGAATTCATAAAAGCCTGGCCACCCAAGTCAACTAATGTAAGAACATTTCCATCATACAACACACACAGGCACGCAAGCATGCATATCCTAACCCCCCTAAGGGGCAAAGGGGGCTGGGGTCAGCATCACTTAAGATTTCCTTCAACAAGAAAGGATTGCTGCTGCGAGTGATTATGCACTATAGAGAGGATCAGCGGGTTGATTATGCATTATAGAGAGGATCAGCGGGACTAATTGATTGAAAATACCCACTAATAGACCATGGGCAGATGCATCATAGTTTGAGTTACCGCTGTGAACAGACAAGTTACATAATTATGTAAAGCCTTGTCCATAGCCCCACCTCCCGGACGGCCCTGCCCATTTGGTGATTGACCAAACATATAGGCCTAGATCTATGCCCCTAAATGAATTGAATCGTCCTCCATCCTTCTTTTGTTTGATTCTGACGGCCATTATAGGTCTCATGAAACCCCACCGCTCATTAGACAAGGGAACATTTAAATTCAATTCCTGGAAACCCTTCCAGTTTCCACAATATCTCAAAATCTATGAATGTGGATCAAGGGCAAAGCAATTTGTTTTTTTAATCAAATACAGTCAGTTTTGTCTGTTTCAATGTTTCAAACTCGTCTAGACACCCACGAACTCTGCCCTGGCTTGGCCTGAACCGAGTAAGTGGACTCGACCAAGTAGTGCAAAACACAAAAAATTGTTTCAAACATAGAAAAAAAATGTAAAAAATCATTAAAAAGAAGGAAAAAGTAAATGGAGCAGTAGAGTTCATTAAAAATCCATAAAGATCCAAAAATACATAAAAGATGGATTATTGAAAATTTTGATTTATACCTTGAGATATTCATAAATAAAATAAAAAAAGAAAAATAAAAATTGGAGCATGTTGAGAAAAAACATCCCAAATCATCATAAAAGCCATATTAATGATCTAAAAACGTCTTTCTAAGTTATTTAATTAATATTCTTTTAAAAAAAATGCATTTTTAATCATTTTAAACAGGGGCCCTGCTGGCCCTGAAACGCCCCTCGGCTATAGGCCGGAGCCGAGTCACTACGCCGAGTCCGGAAAAGCTGGTCTGTTTCATTCATATTTCTCTCCATTTTGAGAACCAGAAGCTTTCTCCCTGGTTCATTTAATTTGGACCAAACAAGTAAACGGCACACTGTGTGTTTCTTATTTCCATAGATTCCATATCCACGAGAAAACTATGCAAAGAAAACAGATTCTCACATCAACATCAACCATGAAATTGAATCAGACAGTTTCACAAATTGGTGATTCAGAGAACAAAACTCAGAGAATTATAAGCCATTTTCTCAAAAAAAAAAAAGAGAACTATAAGCCATTAAGGGGGAAAAACATGACAATCAGCTAAAATAGTTGAATACTGTCTGATTATAATACACATTACCGAAAGAAGAAACTACAACACAAAAAGCGAAGAAAATAAAAACAAGGATTGCTTGCAATTATTTGAATATTATAAGACTTTGGTAAAAGATATAAGATACTACCTGATCTGTACATATGTCAGGATGTTGGAGACCACCTTGTGTTTCAGTGGACATGGAATGAGAATTTTGATTCCAAACTCCATTAAAAGTTGCAGGGACAGGAGATGAAGAGAGAGGTAAGAGATTGGAGGTGGGGTTCTGGTTTAGATTCAGAGGAACTGCACGCCTTTCAGAGAGCCTCCTGATGAGATGATGGGCTGCCCTGAACCTTGACAAGAGAGAAGCCATGGTTGAAATTAGAGAGAGAAAGAGGAGGATTTACCGCAAGACTCCACCGTCTGTCAAGCAGATGTCATCAAGATGATGATGAATCTAGAGAGAGAAGAAAGATGGCTTTAGTTTCTAGAGAGAGAATGAGGACAGGTACAATTGGTGAGAGAAAATAAGGACAGGTGCAATGGTGAGTATGGGAAAATCCAAAGTTAGAGAGAGAATGGAGACAGGAGCAGAGAGGAGAGAGAGGAAGGTGCAATCGGATATTTGATGGTGTAGAGAGAGAGAGGGGGAGGATATCTCATGTAAATAAATTTAGAGCGAGAAGACGGCAGGCGTAAGACGAAGTTCAAGAGGCAGGATGAGTTTAGAGAGAGAAAGAGTGAAATGTGGTCGTGATGAGGAGAGGAGAGAAGAGAGAGAGCTGTGTTTCGTGGATTTGGATTACAATCGATCCACGTTAGCCTAGTTTTGTGGAAGAGACAGACGGATACCTCCAAATTTTACGATGAGGTGTACATATTTTTTTATAATATCTGAAAATTTGTATTTATTTTTAATTATAAAATTTTAAATCTAATTTATTTTTATTTTAATTATAAAATTTTGAATCTAAAAAATTATTAAAATTAAATAAAATCTTGCAAATAGACGGTATGAGTAACATGTTGCACTATTTTTATGACTTCTAAAATCTTAACTTTTATTTTCATCTATCAAAAAAAACCATCATTTTCATTATTGTCGGCCGGATGCTTTTTTCTAACAAAATAACCTTTACAATAATCGCATTTCAGTGAAATTATTAAAATACTTAAATTACTGTAATAATCGGCCAAGTAAAGGAAGCAAAGTCTGAAATTATTAAGATAAATAATCGGCCAAGTCGAGAGGGAAGCAGAGTCTGAATCGTGGCAGAGTATGAATCGTGCGGTTTATATCGAAAAACAAGGCAAAAGAAGAAGAGATTTATCCTGAATATCTCACTCTACTTTCTACCCTCTCTCTGAGTCTATTCCACTTTGTCGTTTTTTCCTTATCTTCCCCTTGTTGCTGGACAAGAGTTACAGCTTCTCGGGTTCAAGACCAAATCGGAGAAGTTCCAGGAAGATTCAATTTCCGACCAAAAAGGTGCCGGAAAGCCAAGATCTGGCAGCTCCCAAAAACCGTCAAATAGTCCAGAGAAGAAGTGAGCGAAGATTAGCCCCAAAGCAAGCATCCGGGCCAGCATTTGGCCAGAAAGGTAGGCTTCTGGTGATGATTTGATCAGAAAGTGCGGTTTTCAGTCAGAAATTGGCAGAAAAGTGAGCATCCAGCAAGGATTTGGCTGTGGATTCCGGCTAGAAATTCGCCGGAAAGTGAGAATTCCAGAGAGAAGTTGGCCGGAATTGATTGATAGGAAGGAAATGAAGATTCAGTGTGATGTTTGCGAGAAGGCGAAGGCGGCGGTGCTCTGCTGCGCGGATGAGGCCGCTATGTGCTGGAGCTGCGACGAGACCGTGCATGCCGCCAACAAACTTCCATTGCTCCTCAATTCATCGCACCATGCCAGTCCTGAACCTGACATTTGCGAGGTCTTCTCTCTCGACTCCCTACCTCTCTCTCTGCTGCCTACTTTCTTTTCATTTTCCTTCTCACTACTATGGTCTCTCATATCCGTTTTTCTTAAAAGTTTTACTCCCTCTATCATTCTTATACTTAAGTCTTTTTTTTCATTTTTGTTTCCACCAACAAATCACGGTTGTTGGGGTGTCATTACAAAATGGGGTATAGTATTTTAAGTACTAGCGTATTCATTATAATATTTTAAATATTGTATAATATAAGGTATTCATTATGATATTCTAAGTCATGTGAAGGTTATTTTGGTCACAAATCATTCAATTTTTGTTTTTTTTTTAAAAAAGAAAGTTGTGGATGAGGTTTATAACTTTTTTTTTTCTAAATAAACAAAAATTAAGATATATTTGTGATAATTTCTCAAATTATTTTTGTATATTCATACATATTGATGTTGAGATGATTAATTAAAAAGTTTTTAATATTAAAACAACCTTTTCGATGGATTTCTGAGGTGTAGAGTAGGTTTGCAATCTTATATAAACATCGAAAAATTATGAATACCTCAAAAATAAATTTTATAGACATTCTACCCCAATACTTTTAATTTCACACCCATCTCCGATCACTGTTTTATTTGCTTTTATTCTTAGAAACCGTTTAGGTACCTGGATATTTATTACATGACAATAGATTACATTTCTATTGTTTGGGTACAGTTTAATACTAACATTTCTATTCTTTGGTGTCTTATTTGCTTTTATCCTTAGAGGTTGTTTGGGTACTTGGAAATTTATTACATGACAATAGATTACATTTCTACTATTTGCGTACAGTTTAGTACTAACATTTCTATTGTTTGGGTAGAATTTAATACTTGGTACAATTTAGTACTAAGGAAAGGGAAAGTAATTAATCAATATTACCCAGATTTCTCAAAAATCACGAAACGGATTACGCCCCAATGAGAAGTGAAAAATCTATTAAGCGCTTTCACGGGTAATCTTTGAGAAATCTTTCACACGTCTTTGCTCTATCTCCACTCAAAAAAATTTCAAACCCACCATTTTCCCTCTCTCACTCAAAAAAAATGTCGACCGCTCATTTTTTCTTTCTCAGCATCAGAATTTACCAAAGCCACACTTATCTCGCCATTGTGAGCCCTAATATCTCTTTTCTTGAGAAATAATAATTGATTTGCATAGGTGCTCCCTTCTTCTCTGTGCCCGCCCGAGCCATAATAACTTGTTTGCATATGTGTCTTCTTCCTTTTCTGAGGCTTGATCCCTCCCTCTCTAAACCTGCCCTCCTTTCGTGAGCTCTAATAACTGGTTTTCATAAGATGATCCCTCCTTTCAATCACTACTCTCTAGTTTTGATGGCAGTGAAAACTTTCTCTCTCTTTGAGCCATAGGTGCTCTTTCCCTCTCTAAGCCCGCCCCCTCTCTTGAGCCCTAATAATTGGTTTGCATAATGAGTTTCCTCATTTTCGAAGTACCTCCATCTTTTGCCCTAATAACTAGTTTGTTCATTCTCTCTTTAACTAGTTATTTTGGTGTAGATAGAATGCTTTAAAATTTTCTATTGCAATTATCAAACTTTTGGTGTAATGATGATTTTTATTCCGCATTTCAGTGGAATTTTGTAACAGAAAAAGAAAGAAATGATAGTTTATAGGCATGTGGTGGTAAAATGTTGGTAATTCATTTTCATATTTCTTCCATATATAGCAAAACAATAGCAATGTATTTTTCAGATTGCATCTAAATACTACCCAAACAGTAACAAATCCATTTGCATATAATCTATTACGACAGTAATATATTTCACAGACAATATATTTCCAGTCATCCAAACGGCCGTTTAGTACCCTTCTCCTGCTTTATTTGCTTTTATCCCTTAAGGGTCGTTTGGATACTTGAAATATATCGTCTGTGAAATATATTACTAGCGTAATACATTACTACATAACAACAAATTGATTGTTACTGTTTGGGTATTATTTAGATGCAACCTAAGAAATACGTTGTTACTGTTTGACTATGTTTGGAAGAAATATAGGAAATGCATTACCAACATTTTACCAGCTTATAAACTATCATTTAGTTCCATCTTGTCACAAAATTCCACTGAAATACGGAATTAAAGTCATCATCGCACCATTCCAACAAAATTTTCTAATAATAACATGATCACCATTTTATAGAGAGAGAAATAAAGGTATTAATAATCACCATTTCAAAGATATAAAGAGTGCAAAGTATTGATCTTAATCATCACCATTTTAAAGAATGAATAACAACGTGAAATAAAAATGTCATTGTTCTAACAAGATTTACTAATGTTATCATAGATATAAAAACTGACAGAGAAGTTCATCATCATCCACCAAAAGAGAGAGATAATACATGTGTGTGTTAGAGAGATAATGTATGGGGGTTTGAAGAATTTTATGTGAAGTCCTATGATTGCATTCAACACTCGGTTAAAGTGTCGACTGACAGTTTCTCTTGAGTGACCAAACTCATGACCAATTTTTCAGTTCTTCAAGTTATGGTTTAGAACGTGCGTGAACATCACAAGTTGTTCATCAAATGAAACCCCCATTGTATTAGTGATATTTCCTCTCTAAAATAATATTCCTCAAGAAAAGTAAACTCTTTTACTCATTCTAATATGGTTTCGACAGTCCACCTCAGTGGAGTTAATTATAGTTTTATGGTACTTTGTACCAATTGAATTATGCTTTGACGCAGATGATATATGCACATAACTCACTAGAATAGTAGCTAATATAGCTAGAGTACTACCAGCTGCAACAAAGTGATGTGACTATTTTCATCTTTACCTCATGCTTGAGGTTTTGATTAGTACTCACCATGGGAAAAGATTGATCACTCTATAAGACTTAAAAAAAATCCCAATGGGAATCACAAAACATATACATGTATACAAATTAGTCATTTTTCAACGAAGTGCTTATGAATGAGGGCCACAAAGAGACAATCCGATTATTATAAATACCTGAATGCATTGGAGTTAATGCAACGATGATGCTAATGGTTAATAAATTTAACAACCATGATGGGTGATTAAAAGCAAACATAAGTAAGCATAATTTAATATTTTTATCCTACAATAGGTGGTAAAAAAGATTTTAATCTATGAAATCTAGTAAGTGGAGAAGAGATAAATACACAAAAAAAATTTCCAAAAAAAATTTCTATCTTTGCCACAAATTGCTTGTTGTTAACATACATTTGGGTATCAAACAATATAAACTTTTATAGAAAAATTTGCTGATCCAAACAATATAAATTTGTTGCTCTCGTTACAAGATGTTCAAATCACAAATATTCACTCCACCTAATAACTCTTGACTTTATCAAATAAATATTGATAAAATAACAAGAACAAGTTACCAATATTTATGTAACTTAAAAAAATGAGTTATCTTAAAAAAAATGTACAAAAAATACAAGCAATATATTACTAAGAAAAAAGCAATTAAAACAATCGTATATTTTAAAGTAATAGGAAAAATTAGGAGAAGAGCAACCTAATAAAAAATCTATTTTTTTTCCAACCCATAGCTTCTTTGTAAAGAGCAAGAGAGAGATTCAGTAATACTAAAGATTTAGGTAGCTATTCAGTGCGAGATTCATATTTTGTTGAGCATTTTTTTTTTATGCATAATGAAGTTTCATTAATATCAATTTTTTTTTTTTTGTATTTTTATTGGTGTATACAACATAGCATTTTGGATGGACCACTATTTTACATATTTGGGTCTTTGCATTTTTTTGTTTTATAATTTGCTGCAATCCTATATTGAGAGCTTTTTTTTAGTTTTTTTGAGAAATAATCCTATGCCCTAATTTGTTCTTGTGTTTAGTATTGTTGTTGTTATTTTATTTTGTGCTCGCAAAACATCTACGATATGTTTGTGATGTGAGAACAAAGTAAGTATTATTGCTGGATTTAGTTAAAGTTTCAACAAAAAAATTATTAAGTAATGACACGACTAATACTATAAAATTAGTGTTTAGTGGCTTTAATATATCTATACAAAAAATTATTAAGTAATGACACTAATAATACTATAAAATTATTGTTTAATGGCTTTAGTATATCTATACAATAGCTGCAAATCATAATCCTATATGTTATCATCTTTATATATTTGACTTTTCTCTTTTAATTTTCCTCCAAATCTTTTATTTTTTTAAAAAAAAAAATCCATTTGTAGCTGTTTTGGTCGGTCGATATTTTATTATCCCCCAACTTGCAACCTTTGCCCCTGTCAAAGAATGCGAGCTTGGTGGTGGGAGCGGCTGGGCAGTTAGTTAACGATAAAGATTACGAATTCACGGTCTCACTAACCTACTTCTCTCAAAAACTGAATCACCTGTCTCTAAATAAGCCTTCGAATTTATGAACTCAATGCAGCCATCAATGGCGAGAATCAAGACTAGAGCAAGCTGGAACTTGCCTTTAAATGGCTTGAGCTTTTTCTGTTTTTTGGGACCCAACAGAGAGCTCTCCCCACGTTCTCCTTCAGAGATCCAAAGCCTCTCAATTGAAACAACCCGTTACTTCTTCTCAGCCGGAAGTAGCAGAAACTCGCCGGAATTTTGAACCCACCTCTTTTCCTGGAGGAGGCCATAATGGCAAGAGTTTCAGAGGAGGTGGGTTTCCGGCAAGTTGGGGGTGAAGCTCACAAAACAATTTGCTTTTCTCGACATTCTTTCTCTCTAGACAGTGGAATGAGGATTAGAGCAAGCTTGAGCTCGTCTTTCAATGGCTTGAGCTTCTTCTTTTTTTTTTGGACCCAACAAAGAGCTCTCCACATCTTCTCTTTCAGAGACCGGAAAACTTTCAATCGAAAGAACCCATTACTTCTTCTCGGCCGAAAGTTGCAAGAAGGCGCTGCAATTTTGAACCCACCTCTTTTCCTAGCAGCCATAGTGGCCAGAATTTCAGAGGGGGTGGGGTTTTCCAGCCAGTTGGGGGTGAAGCTCACTAAACTGCTTGCTTTTCTGACATTCTCTAAGTGGAAGCAGTGCATCTTGCCTTGCCTTGTTGTTTAGAGAGAGATAGCGAGGGGGCGATTAGAGAGAGAGAGGCAAGTAGAGAGAGAGAGGCGGGTAGAGAGAGAAAGGGAGTTGGGAGAAGCTCGAGTTTGATTCAAAGTGGATCCCCTTTATCACCATGCAAGAGTTTGATTCAAAGTGGATCCCCTTTATCACCATGCAAGATTATTACGGAAACTTGATCTTCATATTGAGCTTCATCCCCTCCTTAGTAAAGTGTACCTCCGCTTTCTTTTTTGGACATTCATATGTACGATGTTTTATTTCATTGCATCGGTAACAAGTGATCTTTGAAATATCCATTTTTTCTTATTAAATTTTGGTTGACATGAATCCACTTTCGGAGTATAAAATCGTTTATCAATGCTCCATTGGTATTTCGTCTCTAATCGTAAAGCAATTTGAAAAACTTCACTTAGAGTCCATGGCTGATGTAGAAAAACATCATCCCTAATGGTGGGTTAAAGGTTATTTATATATCAAGCAACCTTTGTCTTTCTGTTTCTTAGAGGTTATTTCAAGCAACTAATCAATAAAACTTTATAGTACAACCTTCCACTTTCTTATCATTTTGTCCAAGATTTTGGAGTTCTTGAAAAAATATTTGCTGGTGAAAGAAACATTTTTTTTTTTAATTTTTTTTTATCTTTTGCTAGTCGGTAATTTTTTCCTTTCCTTTCTACTATGAAGGCATGATTGCTGAACTTGCTTCCCACCAGGCTGCTTGGTTGCAACAAGTTTAACTTTACATAGCTCTGGTAATTCACTCAATTCAAAATAATTTTCAACTCACTTAACCAATATATAAAATCCTCAATGTGGAGATTACTATGAAATTCCAGGAGATCGACTTTAGTATTGAAATTTTGTAGACGATCTATGGGACGTGAATCTTGTTTGCAAATATGTTCTTAACGTTCTTGATCAGTAGCCCAGGTCAGTCGAGGAGGTCGATTCGTCTCTATAGTGAAATTCGGCGCCAAGTCCACGAGGTTGCGAGTGCCCTCGTCTTGAGGAATGACGACCTCTAACCATTGCAACTTTTGATCCAACCATTGCATCCCTTGATTGGTTTCACTTATATCTCGTCCGATACGCTTCTAGGCTATATTCAATCTCTCTTGAATTTGCTGACCCACATGTTCCAAGATTTACGACAATATATCATCAATTGTAAGAGCAAGGTTCAACGACATTGTAATTGATGGATTTTACTTGCTCTGATACCAACTGATGTAGAGTGAAATAACAACCTTGAAAATAGAAATATAAAATAAAAAAAAAAAGTTGAGAGAATATATCATCTCTCAAGATCTTCAAAGGAATCCACCTTAAAAGATCTTTTCACAAAATCAATTATACACAATTTCAATATTTGATCTGTTTACAATGAAAGGACCTCCCTTTAGATAGATTTTTTAGAAGAAAAATAACTCACTCTCTCTTCCTCCATATTTTCCTAATTGTTTTCTCTCCTCATGTCTCCCTCTATCCATTCTCAATCCTTCCATATCTTTCTCTAACTTCCATGTGAAGAGAAACTTTCCCCTCTTGTTAGCATTTATAAAAGGTCATCATAAAGACAATACCTGTCAATGTTATCAAATTTAATTTGTTTCGGCCGAATAGGCCGAAGTCTTATGATTTTAAGCATAAACCGAAGTGAAGAGAAGTGTGGTGCTGCCAGTTCAGTCAAATTCGGACCGCTTCGAGCTGCTTCTTCGGCCATCTCACTATACAACTGCATTGATTTTGATAGGTTTGGGAAGTCAAAGGAACAAGAGTTGATGGGTTTTTAGGGTTCCTTATTGAGCTAGAGAGAGAGAGAAATCCCAAAAAAAAACCCCATCTTCTGCATACAAATGTCTTTTATATCAAAAGAGAGGGATCGGGAGAGGATGAAACAGGGGAGAAAATTACACCAAAAATATTACCTCACTCATTCAGTTAGAAAGTCTCTCTCTTAAAAAAACCAAGCTTCCAAAGAATGTGAAAGGATGAAGAACTCCACTCTAGGGATTTAGGATCTTTTCTTCCCAAAATATCAATAGAGAGAATAGATTTAGAGAGAAAAACAAGACTTTGTTAAAGTTCGATAGAGCATGAGCAAAGACATTGAATGTAAAAAGAAAAGAGATAAAATAAGATTATGGAGAGAGAAGAGAGATAACACAAGATTTAGAGAGAGAAGAAGAGAGATAACACAAGATTTAGAGAGAGAAGAAGAGAGATTGAAATTGGAACTGAAAGGTTTTTTTTGGTTGGCACTTTCGAGTGGATGTTTTCTTTTGTGAATAGAAATTGGAACTGGAAGGTTTTTTTGGTCGGCTCTTTCGCGTGGATGTTTTCTTTTGTGAATAGAAATTGGAACTGGAAGGTTTTTTTTTGTTGTGGATGTTTTCGTGGATGTTTTCTTTTGTGCGGCACTTGGGCCGGAAGCATCCAATGGCATGCTTATCGGGTGGTAAGGGAGCAACTATCCATGTATGATTAGCTTCTAAAGCCTGTATTTCTGCTGTCATAGCATTTCGCCAGTGAGCATCTTTCATGGCAGATGTGAAAGTCCTGGGTTCATGGTTAGTACTAACGGAGGCAAGAAAGGCTCTATGAGTAGGAGAAAATTTATTGTAAGAAATGAAATTTGACAGTGGGTGGGAAGTACATGTGTGAGGAACTAGCGAAGAAGAATGACCGTCCAGGGTGTTGGAAGAAGAGATGGCGGGAGAACATGAGTAGTCGGAGAGCCAGCTAGGTGGTCGATGGGGTCGATTGGATGTACGAGTGGGAATGGGTGGTGTCAAATAAGTGGAATTGATGGGGGGTGATGATGGTGGAGCAGCTGGAGGTGGTGGTAAAGCAGCTTGAACAACTGGAGAAGAGGAGGTGTCAACGTCCTCAATGATGGGCAAAGGTGTGGAAGGTTGATGAATGGTGGATGAATTGGGGACCTTCTTCAAAAGAAAAGGGAATTCCTTTCATGAAAGGTAATGTCTCGGCTGACAAAAAAACTTTTGTTCATCAAGGTCATAATTCTTGGATCGCTTAAATATTATCTGGGAATAGAAGTCACCCGATCCAAGGAAGGCATCTTTTTATCTCAAAGAAAATACATCCTTGACATCCTAGCCGAATCCGGTCTTCTTGGAGACCAATCCTTGACATCCTAGCCGAATCCGGTCTTCTTGGAGACCAATCGTTGACATCCTAGCCGAATCCGGTCTTTATGGAGACCAAGTGAAATTGGAATTGGAAGCTTTTTCTTGGTCCGCCCTTTGATGTTTTTCTTTTATGCGGCACTGGGGCTGAAGGTTTTTTTGTGCGGAGGTTTTCTTTTGCCCAACTTGGAAGGTTTTTTTCAGCTCTGTCAAGTTGATGTTTCGAGTTGATGTTGTCTTTTGTGCGTCACTGGGGCCGGAGGCTTTCTTGCGAGAGGTTTTTTTGCGCAGCACGGCACACGGCACTTGAAGTGCGACACTTGGGGCTGGAGGTTTTCTTTTACGCGGCAAAACACTTGGAGCCCGAGGGCACTTGGGGACACTTGAGCCGGAGCGGCGACAAAGCACTTGGGGACGGAGGCACTTGGGGCCGGAGGTTTTCTTTTGCTCTGATACCACACATTAAATGTAAAGAAAAGTAGAGAGATAAGACAAGATTATGGAGAGAAAACAGACATTGAATGTAAAGAAAAGAAGAGAGATAAGACAAGATTATGGAGAGATAACAGATGTTGAATGTAAAGAAAAGAAGAGAGATAGGACAAGATTATGGAGAGAAAAGAAAGATAACACAAGATTTATGTGGTTCAAGCCGAAGCTTTACCCATCAATCCAAACCCAATAGCTACACCAATAGCTACATCTTCACTATTTGGATAAAATATTACACAAATACGTGCCTCTATATAATCACAATGAATCTTGGAGATAGAAGAAAATATTATGAAGCTTATCAATAATCAACTTGACCAAAATGAATCTTGGAGTTAGAAAAAAATATTATAAAGCTTATCAATAACCAACTTGACCAAATAATTTAATTTGGTCTATTTTAACACTCCCCTTCAACAGACTTGATAACAACATGACCCCATATATATGTGATTCGCTCCAATAATTCAATAGGGAAAAATAGATTTAGAGAGAGAAACTAGACTTAAATATCAGCTGCATGACCCCACATCGCTCCAATAATAGAAGACAATCGAGATCTAAGGGCTTCTTCAATGAAGAAAAATGAAAGAGAGGAACAAAGGCAAAAAAATAAAAAGAAACTAACAACAAAATCAGAAAGGCATGAAATGAATTTAGATTGATAAAAAAAAGAAAAAGTTTATATAAAGTGTGAGGCTTTAAAATTTAATCGGAAGAAGTTGTTTTAATGCTCAAATATCCTCAAATTGAACATCTCGATCTCAAGATGCATGAACACGAGAAAATAATGGATTTCAAGTTTTGGAAATAATGCAAATACATTTTTGTACAGTCAATTTTCAATATTTTCATAGATCTACTCAATCTACATTATTTAAGCTTGTAATTTTATAATTAGAGATGAAAATATGTTTCAAGGTTATCACAAAGATTGTCAGTATTGCAACCACATTTCTCGATACTATTTGAAGGTGCAGTTTATTTTGATTGTTTAAAGCCTCGACTCCATACAAACCGCACCCTAAAAAAGATATGCTTATTCCCACCTTGGAGAGGAGGGATGATTGGGTATTGGATTGAAGAACTTAAAGATTTGAGGGTGATATGATTGTTCTTTTAGGTGTCGGTTCATAGAGGCAGAGGGAGAAATAGAGAAGGTGGGTGAAAAATGTACTTCTTAAAAGAAAGGGTATAAAACTCTTATACATCTTAATACTGTGTATTTTCAATGCAAAGGATCATTCTCCTTGTTGCGATATCTTATTTTTGGAGAATATATTGCTTTTATTTATTTGTACACTTTTTAAAAGGAATTTATCGGTAAAAAAATTTATGGATTTTTTTTTGTTAAGTTAAGATTTTAAAATTTAGAAAAATATACAATGAGACCATTTATCTTTGATACAAGGTGGTCATAATTAATCTTGACTATTGAATGTAAAGTTAGATGGTTGCATTTATTCCATTGATCAAACTCAAACTTCAAAAGAAATTTTCTCATATTTTGTAGTACATCTAGGTTAGCAGATTGCACAATTGATGGTGGTAAGTAATTGTGACCTCATTGTATCAAAGGTAAACAGTCTCATTGTATACAATCCTTTTTAATTTATTCCATCTGTTTATGTGCATATTTTTCAACCAAA